GTACGTCACTGTTGACATTACTAATGCATTTTTCTCCATTCCTCAGTTTTCAGGCCTCAGTTTGCTTTCACCTGGAGGAGTGTGCAGTACACCTGGAACCGACTGCCCCACGGGTGGAAGCACAGTCCTACCATCTGCCATGGACTAATCGAGGCTGCACTGGAAAAGGGTGAGGTTCCAGAACATCTGCAGTGCATTGATGACATCACTGTGTGTGGGAACACGGCAATGGAAGTATTTGAGAAAGGAGAGAGGATCATCCAGATTCTGCTGGAAGCCAGCTTCACCATCAAGAAGAGCCAAGTCAAGGGACCTGCCCAAGAGATCCAGTTCCTGGGAGTAAAGTGGCAAGACAGACAGATTCCCACTGAGGTCATCAACAAGATCATTGTGATGTCTCCACCAACCAGCAAAAAAGAAACACAATGCTTCCTAGGCACCACAGGTTTTGGAGAATGCACATTCCTGAATACAGCCAGATTATGAGCCCTCTCTACCTAGTTACCCACAAGAAGAACATTTTCCAGTGGGGCCCTGAACAGCAGCAAGCAGTCTCTCCCAATGACAAAACATGACAGCCCATTCTAAATCCTACTTTCCTAAGTTAATATGTGAAACTATGTTGAAGTCTTTTTTTCCAACTTTACTCAAGTAAACCAAGTTCTCTAAAAAAAACCCCAGCTCTTCTGCCTTTATCAGGCTTTGTCCTGAACTGAAGTTGTTGAATACTTTGAGTATACTCCAACAATAGGATTTACACCCCCCTGAGTACTTGTATTTCATTTCAAATTGATCTTTCCCAAATGAACTCCAGGCATCACAAAAGCAGAGGGAACTGGCTGCATAAATGTCCACATTCAGTTCCTTGCACCACTCTCCACGCTCTAATAACTAAAACACATAACAGAGAATCTTCCTTATCTTCAGATGGTCCCACAAAACCACCATAGGAAAAACACCTACTAATCAAAAACTGTTCCATGTGAAGAAGAGGTGGAGCATTTAGATATTTTGAAAGGTGTATAATTGAATTTCTTTCAACCAGCAATCAGTGCCCAGACAATAGTCCAGATGGAACTGTGCAATTTATTTTAAGAATGGCATGCTGTAAGAACACATGCGTCTGTAGATATGGATAATAAAGAAACTGCAAAACAAAACAAAAAGTGAACTGAAGTAGTTTCCCTAGTTTGTGTTGTGAAATGGAAAGAAACAAATAAAGGAATTAACAGATATTGAAGTGAATAGGTCAAATAATTAATATGGTCTAATTTTATAATTAGAAAACGCAAGTTACGCTAGTTAAAAACACATATTTCTGAAATGGTGTCCAATAGCAAACATGAAAATTATATATTTGGATACCTTTTGCTATCTCCAGAAGAAAGCACTTCATGCTGAAACACTGAGACTCATTTTCCTCTGATTTTAGTGTGTTGTCTTCAGTTAAAACACTGGCATGTGTCAGAGTGCACACAACACCAGCTGCTCCCACCTTTTAAACGCATCTCCATGCAACACCATACAAGTGAACTGAGCTTGTGGCCTGCAATTTCCCCATTTTAAAATAATTATTATACCCTTTAGCTTACCAAGATCAATCAAGCCTGTCTGGATGAACAAAACAACCACATTCTGCAGTCTCAACTTCAGTGAGAATTCCCTGTCAAAACATTTTTCTTTGCCCATTAACCAGCAGGTTTTAACCATGACTTCCAAAGCCCTCAAGTAAGGTCCCAGGGTAATGTGCCTTCACATTTCTAAATTCTGCAAGCTGAAAGCATGCCTTGGGTATTGACAAAGGCTCTTCATATTTAAAAAGTTCAGCACATACCAAAGATAAACAAGGCATAACAAAGAACACTCCTGAAAAAATTACAACACTCAACAAGAAAAATAAGCTTAGAACCAATGCTCATCCCAGAGCTGTATTTGACATGCTCTTTTCCTCATTCACACAGAAGGGCAAGTACTTGGGCAAGTATTCTTTGTTTAATATTCCTCTCATGTTCCTGGAAGTTTGCTTCAATATATTGAATATTTTTTTATCTTTTAGTGAACTGCAAGCTATCAAATACAATGCATTACAGCACAGATTGTCTTAAGAGATGCTTCACACTAGCCCTGCCTGTGTTACTCCAGTGCTGAATGCAATTCATGTAGTCAACAAATAATTATGCAAAAGCACATCATAGCAGTACTTTACTGACAAGCACAATGTTGCTAGAACAAAGACAGAGTATCTTGCAGCCCAGCAGAGAGGAGTTTGTAATTTACTGTCCATTGATATTGACCTTGATACATAATCACTGATCTCTAGCACATGTGCATGAGTAACAGCTTTATTTCTCACTCAGATAGCTCTAGATTTAGAAAACTTTTTTTCTCCTCTGCAACTACTCAGAAAATCAAATGCAAATTTCCAGAAAAAACTCTTTCAGATTAACTATGCCAAGACTTTGGAATTTAAAACTAATATGTTGAACTAGCATCAAACAAGTATTTAAACCTGTTACCTAATAAACAATACTTCTTCCACAAGACATACTGATTTAGAATAAGCCAATGCAAGTTGCAACCATGGAAATTCTGGCAAGACAAAGGAAAAAGAGTTTACAGAAAGGGTGGTGAAAAGCAGGATGCCTAGAAAGGCTGCAAAATCTCCATCTTTGAAGATATAAAAAACTCAGAGAGATACGGCCCTGAGCAACCTGATCTCACTTGGAAATTGTAGCCTGATTTGAGCAGAAGTTTATGTAAGGTCATCTCCTAAATTATTGTTTAGCTGTACGACAATCTGGGGGATGCCCATAGGCACACAGGAATTATACCCACACCAAATGTCTTACCATGTGCATGATGTTTTTTCATCTTACAAAAGGAGGGCAGGTCTGGATTCAGACATAAAATCTGTGTACCTGAGGTATGATAGACTGCACAGCTTGAAAAAGAAGCCACCCATCAGTTAAGCTCACTGTTAATCTGAATAAACCCTCGCTTTTAAATAACTGCGTTTACGTGTCCTGTAATTGGTTTGGCTGAGATGGAGTTAACTTTCCCCACAGCAGCCCCCACAGTGCTGTGCTTTGCATTGGTGGCTGGAAAGGTGATGGTAACACACCAGTGTGCACTGGTACAGCATCAGCACCCTCTCTCCAGCATTCTGCCCTCTCACACCAGCAGTAGGCTGGGGGTAGGCAAAATCCTGGGAAAGGACATACCCAGGACATCTGACTCCCACTGACCAAAGGGATATTCCACACTACAGGATGTTTGGGATGTCTGCTGATATAAAAGCTAACTAAAGGAAGAGGAAGCAGGGGCATTCCTTATTTACAGTGTTTGTCTTCTAGAGCAACCACTACATGTGCTGAAGCCCTGCTTCCTAGGAAGTGTCTGGACATCACCTGATGATGGAAAGCAGAGAATAAAACCTTTGTTTGCATGCATGCAACACTTTGCTTTTGCTTTAGTAAACTGCCTTATCTCAACCCACGGATTGTTTTCCATCTTATTTTCTCTCCCCGGGCCAGCTGAGAAAAGGAAGAGATAAAGTGGCTTGGTGAGCACCTGGTGTGCAGCCAAGGTCAACACACCAGAGTCCCAACAGCAGAACTCCAGCTATGGGAATGAGAGCAGAAGCACCTGACCACTGGTGATAACAAAGTAAATAACAACAACAACAAAAGTTTCATTCATTGCGTCTTTTAAAAATGAACAGAAAGGAAAAATTATTTTAAAATTTTCATTCCAGTTATGAACGCACTGTGAATAAAGAATGCCTGTTTTCTCTCAAGTGATTGTGCTATTCATGGTGCTAGTAAGCAAACAAGTCTGAGAAAATTCCTCCTGAATCCATACTATTTAACTCACTTTTAAATAACTTCCCAGAGAGGTAAGTGCAACAGCAGCAATATTACGGCAGCAATGAGGCAAAAAAATAATCTGAATATTCTTTCATAAGCAAATCCAAAACTAAGAAAACTCAAATCAGTTTCTCAGACAGACTGCTTAAGATCTTTTATTCTTCGATCTTAGAAACACAGGTATAAGATATTATTAAAACAAGCTAAACTTAATGCAAGAAACTATTTCTCATAACCTAATTTAAAATTTTAAACACATGTCAAAAGAGAAGAATACGTCCTCTATAAAATGTTCTGCTGACTTAAAAAAAAAATCTGTATAAATTAGCACACATGAGCAGCAATTTCTCATGAATGTTAGTACAACCAAACTAAATCAAATAAACATGATGGGAGATTAAAAATTGCAAGCAACATAGTTATTGCCTATATGGAAGAAAAGTACATTAGGATAAATAGGAATTTTATTTTCTCTTGGTGACACAGCAGCAGTACCACTTTCAAAGTCCCATCACCAATGTCCAGTACAGTTTCAATTGCTTTTTTAATTTAAGATGAGGTTATTTCCAAAATACTGCCTAGAGTAGCTACTTTTCCATTTAAAGGATGCATCTACTGTTCATTTAACTGTGAGTGTCAAAAAATTATTCATGCTGCATCCTCTTCCCCACTGCCTCCATCTAGCACTCCTCATCACATCGGACTTTATTGTAATTACAAATTCATGGAAGCAAGAAGCATCTCTAATATTTACTTGAATGGTGCCTAGTACACACTTTCAGGCTGTGAGAAATATGTTTGAATTACTGCATTACCAAAGTGGGGAAAGAATTCCACTTGTTAACAAGCGATAGTGTAAGCTGATGATAGGAATTAACAGTTGATGGACACACATGCTTTCTGTAGGTGGGTCTTCACCATAAGAGAACATTAAGTGCAAGACATTCAAATAACTACAAACTCCTCTGAGGAAGTACATCAATTTTAGAACTCCAGCATCTTTTCTCCGAAAGCTTTAAAGTGTCTAAATCCAGATAATTAGCTGGCACAATGATGAAGAAAACAACTGACAGCCAACTCAGCAGAACATACAGGAAGATACAAGATTCTACATCTAAATTGGAATTTAAATACCTCTTTATTGCTCCTGGAAGATCTAAACTGAATGGAATTCGATAGGAGGATGCTAAAGTGTCGTCCACAGCCTTGCTTATTTCCTGCAACTCTCTCAAAGAAATGCACCCAAGTAAAGCAGCCAGTTCACAATCCTGTGACTGAATAAGCCTATCTTGTTCTTCAATTTCTCTTCTCAGCTGTTGATCTTTTCCTTCTAATATGGCCAGTCTTGTTCGGAGTTCTTCAATTTCTTTCTGCATAGAACAGAAACCCAAGTTTAAAATGAATCTTATGAAAGAAACCCATTTGCCCCTAAGAAAAAGCAGTATAAGTGTCAGAAGTAGCATGAATTAAATTTGTCCAATTTAGCAAACATTAAATGAGACATCCTCTTGCTGACACACAAAAATTTTTATGTCAGTTGTACTCAGAAACTCTAGTGCTTCCAGCAGTCTGAAACTTACCACCTCCACTTCAACACCACACTTCATGTTCCTCTTCCAACACCTACTGTCAGTCCTCTTTCACTTTTAAAATACATAGGTATTTCACAAGTTCACAAGCTAAAAACTTGCACCAAAAAAACAAATGACAGATCACCCATGGCAACAGACTCTTGCTCTACAGACTGGCAGCTAAACTGATCAAACATCTATCTGCAGAATATCCCTGCAATGGTTTGTCTGATGGTTCCAATTCAACAAGAAGCACAGGATGCAAGCAGAGAATCACTTACTATCTAATCAGCCCTTCTGATAATTAACATTTCATTTTAACTAAAAGCACAAAATCCTTCCCTTGACTTAAAATGCACAGAACATCAGTTGCACTAATTTTTCTAGAAGTGAAAATTGTGTGCATTATGATATTGATGCTTCCTGCAAGAGCAAAATACAATTTTTAGAAACATAGAATTGTAGAATCATTAATGCTGAAAAAGACCTCCAAGATCATTGTGTCCAACCTTCGACAGAACAGCACTTTGTCAACTAAACCAGAGCACTTAAGTGCTATGTCAAGCTGTTTCTTGACCATTTCCAGGGATGGCAACTCTACCACCTCCCTGGGAAGCCTACTCCAAAGCCTGACCACCCTTTCAGCGAAGAAATTCTTCCTCATGTCCAATCTTATTCTCCCCTGGTACAGCTTGAGGCCATTTCCTCTTTTCCTGTCACTTGTTACTTGGGAGAAGAGACCAACCTAGCTACAACCTCCTTTGTAGAGAGTGATAAGGTCCCCACTGAGACTCCTTTTCTCCATGCCAAACACTCCCAGCTCCCTCAGCTCCTCCTCATCAGACTCGTGCTCCAGACCCTTCACTGGCTTCATTGCCCTTTTCTGGACGTGCTCAAGCACCTCTATGTCCTTCCTGAAGTGAGAGGCCAAAAGTTAAAAAAAAAAAATCTTCATTAATTTGTACATCATCCTTGCACAGGTTTTTCCTTGAAAACCCAACAGATAGTTTGCCTCCAAGGAAGCAGCACTTGTTGAAGGAAACTGGATTGCTGAGTTAAAGTTGTCATCAAACTAGCTGAACACCATACTGGAGAAGATGATTCGATTCCTATGCTTCTTACTGTCTCTGTGAAACTTTGCAAGCCATTTAAAATATTATGTCCACACATAGCCACAGATTGTTTGTTCATTATTTTCTATACCACATGCAAGAGATCTCTGACATGCTATCTATAGGCTCTCAACAGAAATCAAAGGTCAATTTCAAACTCTGATCACATTCAGTCCAACTAAAAATAAAAATTAAAAAAACAAATGTTTAAAAAGTAAAAACCTAAGCATTACAAAACTGACATTAGAAACAACCACATGGCTTTTTATGGCAATTTACTTCTCCATTCTGCATCTAAGCAAATGGCAATAACACCCAAAATGGTGTTACAGAGATAAAATTAAGTGGGTTTGAAACACTAAGATGCCATGTTTACTAATACTATCACAGGAACCCACTCACAAATTAATAAACTTCTATTCAAAAGAAGGTTTGAGTGACACACACTAAAAAGGTTCTGGGGTCAAATACTGGGTAATGAAGATAAAATAGTGTTCTGAATATCTGAACAGACACTTCAGTTATGTATGAGGCAGGGATCTAGGGGGGAAAAAAAGGCATACTTCAATATTACAGACTCTTATAAAACGTATGTACTATACACAGATAACAGACTTGGGCATTTCTTTGCTTTTTTAGAGTTTCACTTGATAACTTTAACATTATTTTAACATTTTCAATGCAATTTACATGAAGTTTAATTCACAAATTTTGTTAACATACTTTCAGGATTGCTGCACTGTAACCAGCTTTCTCAAGTATCACTTAAAACAAGAAATGGTCCTTGTATATTCAGAGGTTGACTAGCTCCAAAATTTCAACTTATAATAGTCCTGTACACTAGGTTCCTCAATTATTTTCCTTCTTCTTTGGTTTTAGACATAGCAAGAAGAGATTGGTGTAGCCTATGTTTCAGCCCACAGGCATTTGTCAAGGACAGAAAGGTCAGCAAACCAAAAACATCAGTTTTCTTTCTTTCAGTCTCAAATTAGGCTTTTAGGGTGCACAAAGGACAATTCTGTCTCTGTTTTACTAGCTTGGGAATACTGCCAAAATCTTAATAGGCCCTACTTAATACAGAGACCTCCATATTCTGTGAAAACGTAGTAATTGCAATCACTGCAATAAGCAACCTACATGGGAACAGAAAGCAAGATGAACGGGATCTGGTTTTACAATCACACTTTTAGTACTGAAATGTACAACATACATAGATACTAGAAGCACACAATCTGCATTCACAGAAAGAAAGCTGCTCTGCTCAGGAATAGCTCACAGGCATTCTTGGGAGCATGGAAATTTTGATCAGTAACTGGAATATTCCCACATTCTTTTCCAGAAATGCAAAGAAGCCTTTAGCGTGCTCTTGGTCAACCTCCAGGGACAGATGAAAAGGGCCTAAAGTCTCAACACAGAGCAGCAGATGATATTCATCTCACTAAACATAAGCTGGAGTTCTAGTTTGCAGATTTAAGTTTAAACTGGGATTTTCAACAGAACAGCTAATAAGTACTGACCGTACCCCTCCAGCCTCACTTATGGACCGATTGTCTCCATGAAATAGAGATTACAATAGAAATATTAACACATAAGTTATAGATACTGCCACAGGTTTTCAAATCCCTGAAGACAAATGCAGAACCAACAGAAAAGAGCAGAAGAAAAAGTAAAGTGGGGATGATGAAAATTTAAAAAAAAAAAAAATTACTTCTGATCATGCAAGATTTTGGGCAGGAGCAATCTTTAGGGATTCCTGGGTGTAAACAATCACCACAGATCAGCCTTCCCCAGAACCTTCAATTCTGAGTAATTTTGATAAAATTCTAATAAATAGCATGTCTGTATAATGGTGTGGTTAATTTTTCCCTAGTGTAACTACAGAAGAATAAAGATTCAGCTTGAGCAAGTGTAAAAATTAGCTGTTGTGGAGTCTTAAGTACAGCAGTTTTCAGTTCAATATCTTGAGGTGGCCCTTGGATGTCTAGATTTAAAAAATGTTCTGCATGCTGATAATGCTGAACTACACTATGTCTCCTCTTACTTGTTGATGAAATGAGCCTAAAAAATACAAAGGCAATGAATTCAATAAAAAAAGAAGACATTTCTTCACCTAAGTACAATTTTGCAATGACCACATGTTTTTCTCTATTTCTTTGCAGTTTTTTTATATATATAAATTTATGTGTGTACACACACAGAGATCACTGTACTATTGGATCCACCAAATGAATGAAAATATCACCAAAAAATATCTCAAGACAAGACCACAGAAAGAAAGGAAAACTAGGTCTACTAGCTCTCTAAGGTGCCACATCGCTGAGTTTAATCACCAAGGTTTAAAAGACACATAACTAGACAGTACATTGAGATTTGTGAAGGATGGTGGAAAGAAAAAGCTACATTTTGCTTAAAAGGCTTGCAGACTTAAAATTGGACTAATGCCATCTTGAAACATTCCCTTTGCCAAACCATCACGCTGTGACATCATATGTCATTGTAGAGCTATTGTTAGCAAATGCTAACTGTTCCGTGATGATTCCTTCATCCTTATGAAAAGCATCAATCATCTTTCAGGAATAAAAGCTGGTAAATCGTGTATTTATAGTAAATTCTAACCAGAAATGGATGAAAACTTTTTGTCTTCAAATAAAAACTTTGGAAGATCAGTGTAATATTATAACACCAAATTATAACAAAGAGCATGCTAAAAAAGATAATGAGGAAAGTTTAAGCATGCACACAAGCCACCAAACCTTCCAGCTCTGCATTTCTGTAATGAGATTAACACAACTCCTGTGGCTGCCATCTCCAGTCATCACTTAGATTATCGACTGGACTCCAGCCAAGGCTCTAATTACTACACAGAAGCAAAGTCGCTATTACAATAAATTTATTTAATTCTGTGTGACAGCTTACAAGGTTTTCCCCACAAAGCACTGGTTCCTATGCACAACTTTGCAGCCCTGTTACCTGTAATCGCTTCTTTTTTTGAAAAAGCTGGTTTCGTTTTGTGGCAGAAACCTGTGTCCTCTCCTGGGAAGTTGATCTCAAAAGTCTGAGCTCTTTTTCATGACAAAGACCATTTTCTTCATGTCTAACCCTTGGGAAAAAAAAAATTACAAAAGCTAAAAATTAGTGGTTTTCATGAGTTTCAATGTCTCAAGGATTAAACAGATCAGACTGCTATATGTTACCTTTAGAGTCATAACACTCCACCACCAGAATGATTACATTTCAAACAGATACAGTTATAGAACAAGAGATTTTTTTCCATTGGCATATCTTCCTTTATTATCTCAGACATTTGCACTGTTTTTACAACATGATGAAGAAAGAAAATGGTAAGCTTGTATAGCTTCAGGCTTTCCTCAGCTTTATCATATTTCAGAAATTTATCCATCACTGCCTCGAAAGAGACAAAACTAAGGCATGTAGTTTCTATCAATACAGAGAAAAATCTCTTAGACAGAAGTTTAGAAACTTGCCAAAGCCATTTTTGCAGCTTCTGTCAGCTTTTGGAGACTACATTAGAGATCATCTGGAGTGTTTGCTCCACAATGCCAAATTTTATTTCTCTCTTGCACAGCGAGTTCTTTCAAAATTACAATCAGTGGGCTACTTCCCAGTCATCAGTTGTAAATCTTTGCATGACTGGACTCCACGGTAATCAACACATTATGTTAAGTATCAATTGCATAATCTGCCTCTCAAAATGCACCTGCAAACAATGAAAACCCATTTTCATTTCCGTTCTCTCATAAGGGCACGTGCACTTGCAAAGGGCAATTGTGTTTTTGTGTCCATCTTTAGAGACAAGTGCATGCATCTCCACATAAAGAATATCTTTATCTTTCAGTATCTTCTTTAAAAAATACTGGGTCTCAAAGGAAGTGTTTTGAGGCATGATTTCCCACTGTAATCTTGCAAAGCAAATCCATCCATGCCACATATAAAACATGCATCATAAGTCTGGTTTAAGCATGATTAACCACACAATTATGATCTCCATGCACAGGTATTTAACGAGTGTGTAGAACAAGAGGTTTTCCTCTATTCTGCAGGGTCATCAAAAGACACACTTGCTTTACTCCCTCTCTGTGGGTTGCAGAATGCACTGAAAAAGCAAAATAAAACTTCAGCACCAACACAGGTAAGATTAAGCAAGACAGACATAATGAGACTGTAACTGCATTTCTGTATTAACAGCATGCACCAGAGACACCGCTGTTATGAGGTGCTAGACCATCAGTGCGCCTTACAGACATTACAGGTTCCTGTGGCTCCGACCAGCCACACTTCCCAGCAGCTCTGAAGCCACCTTCTTCAAGCTGGAGCTGCATCATTCCTAGAGATGTACATAATAAATTTCCAAGTGGCAGGTCAAAATTTAGAAAAAATTCCATTATAATCATATTTTATTTTCAGAACCTTCTTGGAAATTCCAAGTGCATCTGTCTACTTGGTACTGTTGGAAGATAAACAAGATCTCTCTGATGTCACCAAACTTGAGTGATTGCACAACCACAGCATTTGCTGTTCCTAAGCTAAACATAACCAAATCTGGCTCCTACCACATGCCCCCAATATTCTCTGTCAATATCAAATGCATTCACTTAAAAACTCATTTCATAATTTAATCAAGTAAAACAAAACTGAGGCATGAATTTCAGCTTCATATCTTAAATAAGCTGCCATACACATTTTTCTTGCAAAAAGATGAGATTGCCTTGACTACAGTAAAATTGCAATGGTCTAGTCTTCTGAGGCTAGTCTGATCATCTTTTTAATTTTCCAAGGAAAAAAGAAAAAAAATTTTTTTGGGTATACTGGTTTTGTTCCAATTAAAAATTAAAACAAAAAACTGAAGCCTACAAATTTTCCTTGAGAAAGAAGTTATGTTTTCCACTGCACTATCTAAAAATATTGCTGTAACAGAAAGGACTTAAACCCCTGTACAGAAGGCAAAGGGTACTCTTGCTGTATCAATGAGTCAGGGCACAGACAAAGCAAAGTAAAAGGCTACAAGAATCAAGCAAGCAAATAAAAGGGTGTCACAATAACAGTAGTTTAACTTAAGCTCAAAGAAAGGAGTGTGCTCAAGACAGAAAAGGGAAGAGGATATTCATCTGACCCTGAAGAATGGCATTGCTCAGACCTGTGCAAAGGAAAGAGTTACAGATGTAATCATCCAAACAACAGAAAACCTTTCATAAATAGGTTAAAACATCTATTTTATATCTACAAGTATTATATATATATATTATACAGCACAAAAATAAGCAAATTGTATCTGAGGGATGCTTTAATGACTCAATTTCCATGACAAAGATGACAACACTACCCATAATGTCAAAATCATTATTACAAATTAATGCATAGACCAAACATATCTTAATGAAAAAATAGAGAATGGTGTATCCGAATCTTTAAGGAATGGTAAAACAGCCTCTTAGAGCCTCAGAAGTTAGAAGGAAACAGCTCTGAAGGAATGCAGCTTATTATAAACCTCCCTTATTACTAGATGCTATAAACAGAGACTAAAAATTGCCTTCAAATTCTCCAATATCACAAAAAAAATCATATTATCTGTACTGATTTTATCTAATTTTCATGTCTATCAAAAATTACACACAAAGGTATTGACTAGCACACTGCAGTCTTTGTATTAACAAGCTGCCAGAAAACAAAAGGCTTCTCTTCTTTCGTTTGTGTGATTGCATTTGAGAATAGCTTTCAATTCTAATGAAGTATCCTCTTCAAACAACAGTAACTAGGAGCACAGATTAAGACAGACCAAGAAATAGAGACTATTTTTTCCCCTAAACTATCCCTCTTGGGCCATCTGATACATTTCACTTTCCTCCCATCTTTGAAGCTATCCCTTCAAGACAAGGTTTAGAATTTATTTTTGTGACTTTGTACAATGCTCAGTATTGCTATCTAAGAAGTGTCACACAAAAGGAAGCTCCCAAAGATCTATTCATATCAAAAATAATCTGGTTTTTACTTTAGATTTCAGTATCCTTTCATTGCCTGAAAGGGAGCATCAGAATTAACTCCACAGGGAAGCATTGCTCAAGCTGCGTTGCTGTTGTATGCTCAAGCTGCCGTGTCAAGGATTCAATCCCATTCCCACTCAACACCAATGAGAAACATTCCATTTAATTTGCCTGTTCATCATAATCAATGTTTTTGAGGGGAATTCTGAAAGAACTGTAGAAAGTAAAAAAAAAAAAAGGGGGGGGGCAGGGTGGGATTTTCATAAACAAGCTCCATATGGACACATTAGATGATCATTAAAACTCTTAATTATAATTATTCATAAGTGTATTCTGCATTTTGAGAAAAACAGAAGCACCATTTCACACAATAATAAATCAACAAACTTACCAATTATCAGCAGCCCAGTGCAATGTTGCCTGAACTTGGGTCATGAACCTATCCAAAAAACTGCTAACAGAGGGATGCCTTGAAGGAAGCTGAAATTTTAAAGAATTTTTCTCCTTCTCCAGTTCTTCCAGTTTCTGTCTAAATTTATCAGCTAGAAATCAAATTTAAAAAAAAAAGTTAAACAATGATGACAGTGATGAAAGGGTCCTGTTTTACCTGGGGGGGAAAATAGTCTCTCAACAAAAAGTAAAATCCACCTCTCTGATGGTACTCCTTCCTCTTTTCATAAAATAAATTGGTCTGTTCTGCTCAAGGACTAATTAACAAGACTACAATGTAAAACATCAGATAACCAAGATGCCTAGCTACTTTTTTTCTATGACAAGGACAAAACTGCAGGCTTTCCAGCACTTTAATTTCACAGGGCTCCAAAGAATAGACTTAAAGTTATCATCCATGCTCTTCCTAGAGTAACAGCTGAGAATTAAATTCTAGGAAAAGTGCTGCTTTTCCCTACACACTGCAGTTTGTCTTAAAACTTAGACAGCAGTTACATATTTTAATTTTGACCTTATTAAAAATTTGTATTGTTATTAGGTCAAGAACTGAAGAATCCCATATGATATAGCAGTGTACTTCAGCAGAAAATGCACGTGCAATTAGAGCAATTAATCAATTATCACATTCCAGGCTCTCCTGAATTATGTTCAGTTTATCATCAAAAAATAAAAATTTACCTCCAACTTTAAATAAAAATAACAGTAGTCCCCAAGACACTGCTTTGATTGTACCATAATCCTACACTTTTCTTAGAGTGGCCACCTCTCTATGTAAGTTACTTATTTGTTTTCTGTCTCTGTAGAAAACAAAGGAACATCATTCTAACTACTAATTCTTAATGCAGCACGTGTATCTTCTATTGTGATACTATACCAACAAAATCACATACATGACAGATAACAAGCCTATCATCCAAGACAGAACACCTTTGATGATACATTAGTCAAATTAGAGAGTTTTGAGTAACCCACAAATGGAAAACCTTTATAGCTCAGTACTCTGTTCGTGACCTCACTGCATACAATTTCGTGTGATTAGCAATCCTTTTAACATTTTCAATATGTTACTATCAGAATAGCATCCATCTGTGCATGCTTTTTATTGCTTATTTTCTTTCTCTATCCTCTGAGGGGATTTATCATGAGATGTTGCTTACATTTGCTGATTTAGAGAAATGATGCATTTTTACAATAATCTATCATTAGTATTGATCTCCATTCTGCTTCTGTGCCAACAGGGTAGAATAAAGACAGAGAACTTACTAATAAGACTAGATCTCTCCCCTGTCCCAGCACTGTTCTCCAGGGTGAACTCACTTTTGTGTTGTCATCCACATGCAAAATGTCAGAAGGCCCTTGCTGAAATGAACAGCCTACCCCTCATGTACCCATGTGCACGCTATCCCTGCAAAGCAGCGGAGGTGAACCACACCTGTGATGCATTTCTCAGGGGTCACAGCTAAGCAGATTCACCCTATCCCTATCACCACACTGAAACTGAAATTTGAGCTGAGATCAGACTCTCAACCCTATATTTTGCCCAGAAAAACATATCAGCACTTGCATGCTAATATGCCACTTGGCATTTCAAACTCAGCCATCAAAAACACCACTGTTACAAACAGAACAGTGAGGGCTGAAAGGGTTGGCTAATGACCAATGACCACTGAAGGCCAAAACACATGGAAACACTTTCTTTTACTCACACCATTCGTCACTGGGCTTCCTGGGAGTTGTGGCAACCCTCTATAGCCATTTAACAACGTCATCATTGTTCTTCGACATAATTATGCTTAGCTGTGTTTGTGTGTCCAGTTGTTTCACCGTTCTACTCCTACCCCTCCTAGCCCTAGAAACACGCTATTTTGGGAAGGAAAACAGATGAGGGAATCCAAATGCCAAGTCTTTCTCTCTCTCATTAAGTCTTGGCTGCATCCTGCTTCATATATTCCAATCTACATAGTATTCAATTAGTTTCTACTAACAGACGTTTCTCAATAATTTGTTCCACTGACATCTCATAAGTAATATGGCTGCTCATATCCACTTATCTCTCTGCACAAAATGAGTTTTTATCCTTTCATTTTTTCAGCATCACACTTGAGGATTATGACTTAAGAGACTCCAGCACTAGTGAGTTGAACACTGCAGCATTCAGCTTTTAGAATCCTCTCCTGGAAAAGAGATCTGTGCCATTTGCCCTGGCTGATAGCTTTAGTGCATGGAGAGACCCAAGAGCCTCAGTGCCAGCTGCAGAGCAGGGAACCATGCAAATAAGGCTCATCTCAATCCAGCTTTCAGTGCTGTGGCTCAAAAGAAATCTGGATCAAGCACAAGTAATGGAAATTATCAGAAGTCTAGCCAAGGATGTGGCTAGAGGGAATGTGAAAGGATGTGAAAGAGGGAAATAAGCAGGGTTCCTCAGACTACCAGAGATAAAGACTGAGGTAACTTCCAGTACTACTACAAGCCAGCAAGCCACAAAGAAAGCAGTAATAGAATGTTCTCTTAGAACTTGGATCCTCGGTAACAAACCTGAGTTGCAGCAAATGATATGTGAAAAAAACATTGGATGTAGTGAAGCACTAAATTTAACTGCCAGGGTTAGACAGGAAATCTCCTCCAGTGTTGGTTTTCAGGTCAAACATCTCTCAGGAATACCTCTGGCAGAGTTTAAGGGTTGAGGCCAGAAAAACCAAATGCATTCCCTTGTTTGAACAAGGGAAAGTGCTGGACTCCGCACCTGGGATGAGGCAACCCTGGATGTATGGACAGACTGGGGAATGAGACACTGGAAAGCAGCACCATGGAAAGGGACCTGGGGGCCCTGGTTGGTTGGACATGAGCCAGCAGTGCCCTGCAGCCAGGAGGGCCAACCCTGTCCTGGGGGGCATCAGGCTCAGCATCACCAGCCAGGCAAGGAAGGGGATTGTCCTGCTCTGCTCTGCACCTGGGCAGCCTCACCTCAAGTGCTGGGGGCAGTTTTGGGTGCCACAATATAAGACATTGAACTGTTAGGGAGTGCCCAAAGGAGGGCAATGAAGATGGTGAAGAGCCTTGAGGGGAAGGAATTTGAGGAGCAGCTGAGGTCACTTGGTCTGTTCAGCCTGGAGAAGACTGAGGGGAGATCTCACTGTAGTGACAGCTTCCTCAGGAGGGGAAGAGGAGGGGCAGGCACTGATCTCTTCTCTGTGGTGACCAGCGACAGGACATGAGGGAATGGCCTGAAGCTGCATCAGGGAAGGTTTAGACTGAATATTAGGAGAAGGTTCTTCACCCAGCTGGTGATTTGGGCTCACCAGGGAAGCAGTCATGGCACCAAGTCTAACAGAGTTCAACATGTGTTTGGACAATGCTCTCAGGCACATCATGTAATTCTTCGGGCTGTCCTCTGCAGGGCCAGCAGTTGGACTTTGATGATCCTTATTCCAGCTCAGAATATTCTGTGTGATTCTGTGTGATCTCTTCCACCATATTTTCTAGGATTTTTCAGCCAAGAAGTAGACACAGAAGGCCTTTGCTATTGCTAAGTCATTAGACTCACAGACACAACTTTTGTTTACTTTCCTTTTAGTGTTTTAGCAAGTTATTCCAACAGAGAAAAGAATCCAAGAACTCACTGATAGACTGAGACACCAAAAGCAACTACATGCACTCAGGTATCTTCATTACAAAGAAAGCCTTAATACTTTCTCTATCCCATTCCTCACTTCAAAATAAGTTACTGCATGGACAGCTTACATGCCAAAAGCAAACCCCCCCAATCTGATGAAGTTCTTAAATGAACAAACTTTCAGGTAATCAATACATACTGTTTTACAGAAGCATTTAAAAGGAGGCCTAATTGTCTTTATCAGACTTTTATTTCACTACATTCTGGTGCCAGCTTGCTACCTTGAAGAGTCCTATGGATACCCTAGACAAAGCTCCTACTTCAGACCAAAGAGTAAAAGTTAACTCTTAAATTACCCTCCACTGCAAGCCATTACTGTGCAATTCACTACTGCCAGTGTACCTCAGACATCCCACTCACTTTAAAGCCAACCGTAGTACAGACCTGGAAGATGCTGACTAACTGCTGTTCTCAATTAAACAAGCAGCAGTCTGAAAAGAGTAGTGTCTCCAAAGATCACGCTTTGTAATATCTTTGAGTAAAGGAAGCAATTTCCGTACCTTCTAAGTGACCATGTGAGAACATCTGGCTACCTCTCTACTTTTTAAGTACTCTAACATTGGTTTTATTCTTCCAAAGAAAAGGTTCACTTTATCAGAACTATTTATCATCATTTAAAAAACATTTAAGAAAATCATCTCAGTAAGGACAGAACCTAATTTGCTATGTACTGCATATATTTGTGTTTATTTATGTCTAGGCTAATAAGTGGGAAGATAATCAATCATGCTATTCCACAAATTGCTGGATATTAAAAAAGGGTTCCTTCAGCTAGTTCAGTTAGGGAAGGTCATTTGATCTTGCATCACAACTCAGCAAATATCTTCTTCCCCTTTGCCCTTGCATCCCCACAAAATCTGAAGGCCCTAAAAGAGGATTTAGGTAGGATTTATAACCATAACTCACACACTGCCGCTCTAAAATATTTTTTTCTTTCCTGCTAGGTACTTCTGGAAACACATAATCTCCCCACCATTCACTTTCTTAAAAATTGTATGGGTCCAAGATAATGATGGAAGTGTCTTGTATGCTCAGCATCAAAGATAGTTAAGTATTTTGTAAAAACCAAAGAAGTCCCAGGTTCAGAACCAAAGACCCCTCTTGCAGCCTCTATCCAAAACCACACACGGTAACATGACTTTAGAGAGGAGACTAAGAACCAGGGTGCAAAATGCCCCTTGTTGTTCCCAAATCTCTAATGTCTGTCAGCTAAAAGACTTCCCTTCTATCCACCAGAAGCTTCTCTCTTCTCAGATTATCTATGCTTTTGGTATCCAAAATACATTATAACAGAATACAAAAATTGAATAATGAATTATTTAAACACATACGCCATATGGTAACTTGAGGACTTTAATGTGGAGCTTGAATAT